TATTATCTATTTGTATTGAGTCTTATAAACTTTTCTCGACTCGACTAGTTCACAAAGAAATATAACTTTATAAAAAAAAAACTAATTCCTGACATAGAGTAAAAACCTTTGAGGCAGTGGAAAAAAACTCCATCATTTATACCTAATTATTGATATTATAAAGCGCAATCTTCATTTTCAAAGTCCATAGAGCCACATTAGTAGATATAGGTAAAAAATGGGGATGTGCTAATTCATCCAAATAAAAAAAAATAGGGTAGGCAGGGTTTTACGATATTTTTGTTCTTAAGCAAAACTCACACGTGTTTTTACCTGTTGCAAAACGACTAAATTAATGTGATTTTTACGATTTGTATAATAACAGTGATGGCCGTCTATATAACAATAATTCATTTTCACAATTATTGGCTATTTCAAGTATGCCGTCTTCTTCGATCAATGGGCGTCAGTTTTTTATACGTTGCAATGATCTGTGTTTAAAACACAAGTAACTAATAAGGTAATTATGATGATATAAAAATATAAAAAGCCGTGGTAGCTTAATGGTTTGACCTACCGCCTCTAAAGCAGAGGACGTGGGTTCCAATCTGGGCTCGCACCTCTGAGTGTCTGAGATTTAATTTTTAAATTTACCATGAGTTTTTCGGCGAAGGAAAACATCGTGATGAAACCTGCACGTCGAAGAAGGTTCAAGAAGGAAAATGTGGTGAAAGTCCCCATCCCGCATTAAGCCTGTGTGGCGGACTATGGCCTACACCCTCGCTTGGGATCCATGCCGTGGCTGTGGGTTAAGTGGGATAAATGGGTTGACGATGATGATGATGATAAGCTGGACTACCACACTAATTACCTGTTCTCTAACTAGGGACCGTTCTGTAAGTACCACATACTAGAGTAACCCTAGTTGAAATTCAGTGGCACAACCCAGAACATCCAGGCCAGAATCAATTAGAAAAGTTCAACTATTCAAATTCAATTATCTTTATTTCGGAATATTGATCCATGGATCAATTTTATCATGGAACCATTTTATCTTTACCTTTGTAGAGGTTAGTAACAAAGCACTTAAAAATAGAGTTAGTACTACAAATAACATTTTTTTTCTAAAACTAATATGAAACCGGGACCAGCGCTCATGAAAAGAAACCTGGACCTTATTTGCGGAGGCTGTTGTCGCTGCCACGAACTCTGTGCACCAGGGAATCCGCTTTTTTTGCATAATAGCTGCAAAGTCATCTACCTTAGTTATGGCGAATATCCCCGGTGATGCACTGCAAAATCGTGGCATCTGCAATAACACCCTGAATATGTTATTGTAATAAAATTGTAGAGAGCTAAGAGATTTTAAGGTGTACCTAGTTGTGAGTTATCTCAATAAACTTCACAATTTATTCATGTGGTCCACCTAAACGTATCAACTACCCTATTTTTCGCTAACCTTGTTTCAAGTTATTTAAAGCAAGCGTGGGTTGAGAAACCTACTTCGCACAAAAGGATACCTACATAAACAAAATTAACAAAAGAAAGCTCATTGACTATGCATTTTAAGGCTTCAATATAAGTCGTAGTAATGTAGGACGACGTCGCTCGGTCAAAATAAATAATAAAAAACTTTTCCCGCCAACTCAAATGCTTTTGATACGTTCCATTGTAGAGCTTAATGGAGCTTTCAAAATATTGCTACGTTTTCATTTTTATTACGACTGAATAAAGTTCAAAGTCGTAAATTCATGTTTTGCTATTGGAAAGAACAAGTAAGCAGTATATTTTTTCTCTGTTTAACGAACTGTTATTGTATCCATCTCTTTCATGCCAATACGATGGAGATAAAACTTATACATTCTGTCTTTGTCGCTTTAACTTTCAACTCAGTAGAGAATCTGACTCTGTACATGGTGGTTGCTTGCTCTATCGTCACCTGTGAGGTACTAAACTTTTAGGTGGCTAAAGTTCAACTTTTGTGAATTATGGAGTTGACGTAGAGTTGTAAAAGTGATGTGATAGGCGGTGTTAATTTTTAAAACTGTTTATAAAACTCATTGTTGTGGTCACGATGGGCCCTGCGGCGGTGTTTTGGACTCTGGTGCTTGGTCTCTGTGCTGCGGAGGCAGGGACGATGGGTGACCAGTGCGACTGGACTGGCAGGTATAGAAATACTTTCCTATTGTCTTATGATAAGCATTATCTTAACACGTCACTGTGGAGTTCAATGAGCGCTTTTTTCAATATTTTAAAATCCGCTTACCTAGGTTCTGATGAATTGACGTTTTTATAGTCTAGACTACGTAATATATTTTTGTTTATAAGTATTATTGACGATCCTTTAAAGTGTTTTCATCAATTACAATTATGGTATACAACTTTTTCGAAGTGTGTTGCGCGTGTGTGAATCTTTTTAATTTGTTCTCAATGTTTTTTTTCATAGTTCATAGTTTCACTTAATGACTTGCGAGAAAAACATTTACCAAAAAATTGGTAAATGTCTCTTGACTATTAAAGTGTCAAGTAGGTACATCAACTTTCTAAACATAAATATTATGTGTTAACAGAGGTATTAAGTATAATATCATTGTGTAGTTACGTCAAGTGGGTAGTTTTGTACTCGGAACACATCATCATTTTAATTTGTACTCGCTACATTAGATTCAAAATATACTAAATTCGTAAAAGATTCCTATTTGAACCCAAACATTCCACCTGGAGGCCGTGAGTCATCCAGTTCCAATCTTGCCCTGGGGCACGGAATCGATTTGCAAAATGCTACACTCACCATACTTTATAAATGATAATTTTTGTAATCGCGTGCGAGAATTTAAAAGCCAAGAATCGAAGCTTTTGTTTTAAATTTCGTTGACTTTCATTCCTAATGCTGTGTCCCGTTGCAAAAACTGTAAAATTTGAGGAGCCAATTTATATTGGTCTTTTGCAATATTCATATTTTAACTCTATTACTTAAATGTTGGAACTAATGTGTATGGATGTGTCTCTCTCCCTGTGTGTGTGTGTGTGTGTGTGTCTATTAATATATATATTTGTGTTTGCATATTTTTGTTTTACGAAAACGTAAAGACTAGGTATGTCAGAAATATAAAATAGAGCGATTAATAATAATATGCATAACACAAATAGGTAATTTAATTGACTTGCCCTAAAACTAATCAACCTCCCCTAATGTGAAAGAAATTTCATCACAATAAAACAATTAAAACAGAATGCAATAACTTACACCGGAAATAGCTATAAAGGGCGATTATTTACGTCACAAAATCAACAAGTAAGGTTTCCCAAAGTTTTATTGGGGTAGCGAGGGTGAACCGTGGGAAACCGATGGGAAAAGTGTTCTCGACGCACCATGGACACGTGACCCTTCCGGGGATGGGGGAATGACGTCACATCAATTGCTGTCTTTTGTTTGGATAAAATATGGATGGGGCGACATTGGTTGATTTACCCAAACCTTTATTCATAAGTTGTATTTATTAAATATCAGTACCGGTCCATTCGAAGGACCAATTTAAAGTAGAATCCCTAACTGGTTAAGTCATAATACGCTAAGTGGTCTATGTACTTTCTCCTTAAAGGAGACCAGAAGCCAGCACGGGATTGTGTCTGTTATAAATAATTATATATCGGTCGGTCGGTATAAACCGACCCATAAAATCGGTTACTTTCCTTGATGGCCTCGATGGTCCAACGTTTTGTACGTTTTGTGCGAGAGCTGGATGAGGAGCGGGTTCCAATCCCGGTACGACAAATTTGGGAAATTAACTTTTCTAAATTGGTCCATGTCAGGGTATTCCGGGTGAATTGCCTTGCTCAGGTATTCTCAGTACAGGGAATTTCCTATTTCCTAATTTCCTTTCAGATCACAGCAATTGGTGTTGTTGCTTGCAACGTTATTTTTATGGTACTGACTTGGCAAACAAGTCAACAAATTACACAGACGAAAGAAGAACAAGAATAGTTGCAGTGTCACCTAGAACTTTAAATTGCAAACATTTGAGGGATACAGCCGCTGCGCTCGTCACCTTGAGACAAAAGTTGCATGTGCCTGTAATTTCATTAGCACCCTTACCCTTCAAAATCGTAATTGGCGACAGAAATAGGTAAGAGTATAGTGCCAACATTTCCCTTGACGAACTCTTTCACATGGAGCTCTACTGCCACTAAAATTGTCCTTTGATTTGTGATATATTTACTTTTGGGCGGTTATCTGCACAATATATGTTTAAGTAAAATACATATACATATATACATTTCACACTTCACGCCCGTTTCCTATTAGAAAGTACAGCTTTAGTATATACATATACGGTACAATTATCAGTCTCAGGTACAACCTCAAATGGCTTTGGTTGATTCCTCATAACAGTGAAAGTGTTGAATCGCTCATTTTGGAAAAAATGTATAGCAAAATCGAGGATATACGGTGTGAAAACACGATTCCTAAATAATTTCACGATAGATTAATAAACATAAACTTACCTCGAAACTTTACAAGAAAACCGCTTTATTTTATAGGTACTTTACATATGCCAATTATTTTTTTATATCAACTGAACTAAATAACACGTACAGTATACGATGTACATCTTTCAAATGTATTTAATTTCGTTTGTATAAAAATAAATTCTGAAATAAAGCCCATACCTTGCCGCTCGACCCGCGCAATAGAACCGATTCAGTATGGGAAAAATTTGAATTCGAGATAAGGTAGTATCGACACTTAAATGTTATGTATTGTACGCAGAATAGCCTCACGTCGCGATGTTCAATTAAGCTTCCATTAGTTGACTAATAGGACAGGTTTTCTGCCCAAGATACGACTAACGGCTAACATTATTAATTAGGAGCAATATGGTCGTTGGCAAACTAATTCATATAGCAAACAAACAAATGTGGCTAGGTGATAAAGCGTACCCTTTTTATCACAAATGGTGCTAGTTTGGTACCACTAAGTTTAGGTACGTACTAGTAATAAATTATACCAATTACGCAATTTCCCTGCTTTATTATACCTATTTAGTTGGATTAATGTTTTTTTATGGTTTTATTGCATGTTTTATTAGGTTTAGGTTTTTGTGAATAAGTTTTTTTTATGATACCAAGTGACGGGACGAACAAGTCGTGCGCCTGGTGGTAAGCTACACGCCTGTTCACAACAGGTGCAGTGACACTCAGTGCTTTAAATCACAAAGATCTGAACAGCACTGCCACTGCGCCTGTCCTTGAAACATAAGTTGACAAGTCCCATATGCTTGTAATTTTACCAGTACCCTGATCCTTAAAAAAATCGGGACGCTGTAATGCTCACATTAATATTGCTTGGCGGCAGAAATTGATAAGGTGGCAGTACGTCTCTGGACGAATTCTTTCACAAGGAGCTCTACTACTACAAACATTTTAAATAAATATGAAGTTATAAAATAAAAAAGTTTACATGGAAGTAATTAAAGTTTTTATTTATTTATATTATATTTATTTGAAATTTACTTATATCTAAAAAGGAATATTATAATTCTGAAGTGAATTTATCTACTTACATATAATATGAATACATACAACAGTATTTATTGTATTTCTCTACTTACACGAATTGCATTAGCAAAAAATATCTTTTTTTTATTTGTTACTTACTTACAAAAGCATTAAATGTTTTTAATTTACATTCTTAAAACTAAACAGGTATGTGTAAGTGTTGCAAATACCTATTCCCACCAGAGAGTAATATGTGATAAGGGTTTTTTAAATAGAAAAACCTATCGTAATCTTTATGTAGTTGTACTATAAAAAGAGATGTTATTACAAGGCCATTGTTACATCTAAAGTATGCATTGAACTATAATATGAATATTCAGGCATTATGAAAGCAGTATACGGTGAAGTGTCAATGCACCACTGCTCGATGCATTGTAGAGCATTCAAGTTCATATGTTATGGTTTAAGTGAGTATTGTGGGCGTTTTATGTAATAACCAGTCGTAAATATAGTCAGTTGGTACAGTTTTAGGTACTAATATACTAAAAATATAAGAGAGGGTATTAAATGAATAGAGTTCTCGTTTTATTCCTTTGTGTGACTTTTGAGATATTTTTAGTCGAAATATTCCAATTAGCTTGGTATGTCCAAAGTTTTGCAGCAGTAGAGTTCGTTATGAAAGAATTCCTCCAGGGAAGTGCTGCCACCTGACCATTTCGGCCCCAGGCAGTAATGTTAGCATTATTGCGTTTCGGTCTTGAAGGGTAATGGTGCTGGTGAAATTACAGGCACATGGGACTTATCAACTTATGTCTCAGGGTGACAGGCGCAGTTGCAGGGCCCCTTAGATCTTCGCGATTTAAAGCTCTGAGCCTGCCACTGTTATGGATAGGCGTGTGGCTTACCAGCAGACGCACGACTCGTTCGTCCCGTCACTTGATATTATAACTGCCTCCGTGGCCGAACGGTTACCATGCCGGACTGCCACGCAGAGGTCCCAGGTTCGATTCCCGGGCCGGGAGAAATACTTGTATGGCCTACATTTATTTCTCTCGTGAGTTTGGGTGTAATTTGTGGTTGTCTATGTGTGTGTCCATGGCACCCGCGACACAGGGTTTCCCTAGTGCGGGGCTATGTTGATTGTGAGCGTTATTATTATTATTATTATTATTATAAAAAAATGTACAAAGTGGGGACATTGAAAGAAATCCTTATTTTTAATTGAAATCGACAACTTAACATTTTAATTATGTAAGAGACGTCTGCTGACTTACTGGTAGAATAAATGTCAAGATATTTATACACATACATAAAATATTTACATTTAGGAGTGTACAAAAATCACTATTTTACTTTATCTACAGAAAATGATTCGTTGTTATATCTAAAATGTTTAATTACACATTTCTTTTCTTGATTATGACTTCATTTCCCGAACGCCATGGAAGCCAACGACTAACATTTTATATTTCATATTTTTTTATAATTCTCATTTATTTAATTTAAAATGGTTTGCATTGTGTCTAAAATTGCGACGTAATGTAATATAATTCCTAGGAAAGTTCTACTCTGTCGACAAACGCGGCGTTAGCTGTAACACATACATTTAATTTATTAGGAGGGGGAGATCGGAGGGTCCGGGATCTGTTTATTATAATATCCTCCCA